CGCAAACCGAGTTATGTGATTGCCGACTTACACCGTCAATATGTTTTAAATTGAATTTTTAACTAAAGCGTCCGAAAAATTTGAAGGAAGATATTCACAATTTTTCTAGCGAATTCGTTTTGTATCGACGGAAGTTTGGCAGCGTTTGAAGGCACGTACGGTGTTTTTCCTTAGCACGGCTGAATTGTTTTTGGCATCGAAAAAGCACTACTGTGCGGCGTCCCCATTCCCGTCGGCGGGAGCCGAAGAGACGTTGTTCCTTCTTTATGGAAGTGGTCGCAAGTCGTTCGTTGGTCCGGCTCATCTTTTTATACCTCTGCGCTGTGCCTTGCCTTTTCCGTGTCCCTACCCGACTCCCTTGCCCGGCCGCGCGCGCTGCAGTTCCTCGGGTCGTTCGCCGAGCCGCAGCTCAACCCGCAGCCGCAAGAGATCAATTTCTTGTACTCCCGTGCACAGGAAAACCGCCGTGTGAGCCTTCAGACATTGCCCAACTTCCTCTGATAAAGTACGAATTTACCGGGATGAGTTGTCAATCTTTTTCGGAGGGTACACTGGAAAAAAAAAAAAACACATTGGACCTAGAGTCCAGACTCATGAAAACATTGACAAGAAAAAGGACTCTTGATTCAATCAGATTTAAGCTTAAATCAAAAGGAAATCCGCTCAAATTAAGAGGCTGGGTTCTTGATTTAAGCAAAAATCCGATTGAATCAAGATTATTTTTTCTTGTCGATGTTTTTAAGAGTCTGGACTCTAGATCCAATGTGCGTTTTTTCCAGTATATGGATTCGATCGAAAAATAAAACTATGAATCGATCGACGTGAACTGATCGACATCGATTCGATCAACAGATTATCGAAAAGACGGTGTCAATTCAATCGACATGAATCGATCGAATAATAAAAACGTGAGCTGATCGACGTGATGTGATCGAAAAACCCATGAATCGATCGACAAACCAGTGAATCGATCGAAAGAATCTGCAAGTCGATCAACAAAACCTGTGAGTCGATCGCCAAACCCGTGACTCGATCGATAGACCGCTGAATCCGTCAAATTTTTTCGATCGGTTCTCGTCGATCGATTCACGTTTTTATTTTTCGATCGATTCTTGTCAATCGAATCCATTTCTCCATCGTTTTCTCCCAATCTTTCAGGAAGTATTGTTCGCAATTCGATCTAAAGTGTCTGAAAATTTCAAGGAAATATATGCATAATTTTCCTGGAAGATACATGTTTTATCCGAGGAAATTCGGCACCTCTTAAATGTTCATGCGGCGTTTTTCCTTAGCACGGCAGTTTACGTTAAAAGAGGGGAGGGGGAGGGGAGCTTATTTTTGTTGTGGCAACTTTAAGCTTTGTACCCTTGATGAAGCTCAAGTCGGCGCTGGGCAACGGCCCGCGGACAGCTCACGCGACTGGAGCCTCTCAAACGAGTTTTCACATCATGAGCCTGTCCTCTTCCTGTGTGCATAACGGGAAACTAATGTAATCACTGGTATCGAACTCAGGATGGTGCCTCAGATGAAAATGATGGAGGCAGTTTAACGTTGCAGCTTAGGCGAAGGATGGGAATGTTTAGCTCCCAGAACACGTTTCAGAGTAATTTTTGCATTATTTTTTCTATTTTTATATATCTTTAGCGCAAACAGGCTGATGCAACTCAATCGGCGAGTCCGCGCGATGCTTGAAGTATTCCTGCAGTTTTGCAGGCACTATCTACGATCGTTTTGCACTCAAATATAGGTGTCGTCAGCTAAGTTGACGGTTGTTTACTTTCGGTTTGCAGGCGTTTTCGCGTCACTACTATCCACATGAAAACATCTGGCTCTCTCAGAAGCAAGAACACAAGCTTAGATAAGTTTTATAATACTTTCAAACCTTGTAACACTTTAATTTTTAGCCATACAGAAATCACAACCACATAAAATTCGCAAATCATAACTGATAAGTAGTTTTTTATGAGACTGATGTTTTCAATGTTGATAGTAGCGAACGCCGCTTTGTTTAGAGGCCCAAATTCGTCGTTGGCGCTTAGTAAACAACCGTCAACTTAGCTGACGACACCTCTAAGTGTACGCAACTTTATCGACAAGCCCGCGTGATGGTTGAAGTATACCTTGAGTTTTGCAGGCACTTCTCGCGATCGTTTTTCCGCGAAGTTTAAAGTTTCCTAAAATTTTTTCCCGTGGATGAGAATTCTTCTCACAGATCCGGTCGCATTATGAAACAAAACTTTCTTGCATATCCACAACAATGAAAAAGAGCTTGGCCTCTTTTTCGCTGACTCAGAGACTTTTACGCAGAATGGAAAAGTTGAATGGGGCGAAACGCGTGTTCCACTTTTTCGACTTTTCAGAAGGTGAAATTGCGTTTCCGCTAAATGAAGGAGAGCGTGACTCTTTTTAGCTGGCTAAGAGACTTTAATGCTGCAGTAGAAAAGTTGGATGGGGCGAAACACGTGATACAACTTCCGACTTCCAAGCAGGTAAAATTATACATATATCCCTAAAATGAAGGAGGCTCTCTTTTCGGCTAACTCTGAGACTTTAACGCAGAAACAGAGAAATGAATGGGGCAAAACGCGTGATACATCTATTTCGACTTTCAAGCAGTAGGTAAAATTGCATATCGACGGCGTAAGTCCGCAATCACATACCTCGTTTGCGGTGTCTGAAAATCTCCGCCTCTATGTTATTTTTTTAAAGGAGAACAAATTGACATCATTCCTTGAAGTTTTTGCAGAATTTTCTTCGCCCAGAGAAGGAAAATCACGGCAGCTTTAAAGAATTGCCGTTGAGTAGTTTTCCGTCTAAAAAATGAAGTATGACAGGAAGTCTGCGACGGCGTAAATCGAGTTATGCAATTGCTGACTCGCTAGTTAAACGCAATTTTCAGTTCGTTTAGCCGAACTTTCGGTTTGTTTTACCGAACTTGTGCGGTTAAGAGAATTGATGCAAGAAGTTCGATGACATGAAATGAGCGTTCGGTTACACGAATAAAATCCCGGTTTCACGAAAAACACTGCTAACTCAGCGCATTAAGCACTCTCCGATGAAGCAACACAATTTTTGTGTGCTTTTCTCCATTAACGCGTCGTGCTTCATATTGAAGCTCTAAGAAAGTACACTGAAAAAAAAGTTCGGTAAATCCGAACTAGTTAGGATCATGTGAAACCACGTTCTGTTCGGTACACACAACGGAATTATTCGGTCTGTTCAACCAAACTGTTCGATGTGTGCGACCGAACCATTATAAATTCTTATAGTTCGGTTCAGCGGACCGAACAGTTTGGTTGCACAGACCGAACAATTAGGTTGTGTTTACCGAACTTTTTTTTTCAGTGTAATATTTTTAAGTGTAATTCATCTTACGTTCAAGGAACCGTTCTTTTGAATCATTGTTCTTAATTCGTATCAGATTGGCACTGATTCCTTGATTCAAAGATCCTCGTCCCTACCTCGCAGCATCCTCGTCGAAATCGGTTACACGGCGTCAACCCGCTACGATTTATGAATGAGTCGTACGTTACCTTTCCTCGCGTACTCGGCCGCAAGAACCGGATCGTCTTTCAAATTTGGCATCCGGTGGTTTCCTCATACTCGCGCACCTTGCGCTCCGTCTTGGTCGAACCTCCTAAAAAACTAGTTTCGCGATTTCCCTCGCTGACAGTTTCGTCCTGGGCAACTTCTCAACGTGCCGATGGCCGCCGCGACCGATGAGGCATAAGCAACACTCCAACCCGAATCTGCATGTCCAGGAGAAAGCTGTCTCTCCGCTCGAATTTCGCACTCCCAAGTCAGAGGCCGAGCATCGGAAGTTGTACAAGCGTGTAAAATCATAATTTTTGATGCGGAGTTGGAAGGATATGCACTGAAAAAAAAAAAAATTTCGGTAAATCCGAACTAGTTATGATCATATGGAACCACGATTTTGTTCGGTACACACGACCGAATTATTCGGTCTGCTCAGCCGAACTGTTCGGTCCTCTGAACCGAACTGTAAGAATTTATTATGGTTCGGTCGCACAAACCGAACAATTCGATTGAACAGATCGAATAATTCGGTTGTGTGTACCGAACAAAACCTGGTTCCATATGATCCTAACTAGTTCGGATTTACCGAACTTTTTTTTTCAGTGAGGATTCATGCGGCTTTGGATAATATTCCGTTCTTATGCTTGCCCAGGCCATGATTGTCTGGGGTATCCTTAGGGATGAAGCACACGACGACATATCCCGAAAATACGAATCCAATAGGAAGAAAGTAATAAATGGGTGAACAAGACAAAAAACATCAAAACACTCTGACACACATCATTAAAAGTTCTTCCTGCAGTAGAATGTTCTTGCCCTTGTAATGGTGTTTTTCACAAGTGAGTTGGAATCATGTCTCTGCTCGCTCTCGAAAACTTCCTCACAATTTCCATAGTTAAATTGCTAAATATCGTCAAATGAAGTAAGATTTGAAAGGAAAGCATAATAGAAAGCCGGGTTTTTGATAAAAAAAATTTATTTAGAAAGTCAGCATCATATAATCATAAGTAAAAGAAGCAGTTGTATCTCTCGATTTATCGTAAAAGTTCAACGTGTAGTGTAAACAACTCGATTGTGAGTTTATTACAGAGAAATAATTCTAAAAATTATCGTATCACTAAATTTTGCTGCATTTAGCAAAAAGGAGCCCAGCTTTAAGTAGTCAGGACCTGAAGAGCCACATCAAGATCAGTGGCGTGGCGTGCTTTGCGATATATCGATTGATCCACTATTTAAACCTATGGAGAAGGATCCATAACCAGGGTGTTTGCAACGAACACTCTAAGAATCGATTCTTTATCACAGCTTCCAATGGGGAATTATTTATAATCAACCATTCACGCCTCGCCACTAATCAGGATAGAACCGAGAATAAGAACTTTAAAGATTTTATCCTTCTATAAGATTTAATGTTGAAGATAAAGTTTGACCCCTATTTTCACTCACAAAAATGATTTTTCTCATTTTCTCGATTTTGCATGCTGGGTAAAAAGCGAGGTAGGTACGACGACTAGTGACCCCCTGTGTTTAATTCCTATTTTCACACACAAAAATGCTTTTTCTCAGTTTCTTTATTTTGAATGCTAGGCAAAAACTCAAAAAGCGAGGTAGCTGACAAGTCGTAGTCGTAAGCTGGAAACTTCTCTCAACTCGGATTTTCTCCTACAAATAAGGCTTTCTTGGTTCCTATCTGTTATTTTTCCTATCTTTTCAAAGTTCTTCAGTTTCTACCTCTACTTTTTCTGGGAGATCAAAAAATCCCAGAATCTTTTGAACTGGGCGGCTCCTTTTCCGTTGATTTCTTCGTAATCCGGGATGACTTGCTGACACTTTGTGTACCACCGGTCGATATTCGGGTATTTTTTTAAATCAATGCCAACCACCTGCAACAATGAAGTCGTATGAAAGCTGAGCTCGTGCATGATTTCGCACTCAACATCATAAAATCTGACAATAGGCGTGCAAAAGTAGAAATATTGTTTAATGTCCTCCGCGAGGTTCTGTCTAGGCCGAGGTTTACTTATGAATACTTCTTATTGTTTGTTCTAGTTGACTTTAAAAGTAATGAATTATTCTAGATCACTTTAAGTTCTTAAAATGATAACTGTTATTTGGATTGCATTTTGCAAAACAGAAACAAGAACATTCCAATTACGCTAAGATTGTGCAACTTTTTTTAGGTACCTTGCGAATATAAACTTATCACCTAAACAAATTTTATCTTTATTCTCAATAAACCACGAATTCAAGACCAAAATTAATTTTGTGCATGATTCCAGAAATTTCATTGCAAAAAATAAAAGTTGCACAATCCTAGCCAAATTGTTATACCCTCGGTTCCTTTTTGCAAAATGCAATCCATTTAAGAAATTACACTCCAGGATCCAAGAATCACGACTAAAGTGATGCACGTAAGCACGAAGACTTGCATTTTTGGAAGGCACTGTATCATAGGTAATTCGTGCTTTTTTGAGACTCTCAGTTTTCATACGAGTACTTTATCAAGGGAAAAACAAAGAATGAAACATGAAAGTTCCTAAATAACATAATGGTTGTGATGTTCTTCCTCGTAAAACAGTGCTCACACTGAAAACTGAAATATATTGACAGATTTAATTCATATTTCACAATTCCTTGACACCATTCTGCCTCTGAAACTTTGAGGTACTACACTTAAGTACATCGTTACTTACGTCATAGTTGGCAATGTCGGCCACGAGAGTGACATCAGCAACAGATAGCGAATCCCCTGCCACGAACTCCGCTCCATCCAGTATTTGTTCCAAGAACGGGAAATTCTTTGTAATCTGTTGGAACTTCACCTCGTCTACGGGTAAATCACCAAGAACATGCTGCTTCTGCGAGAAAAGCAAGGAGAACAAACTCTACTCTTTGCAAGTTCAATATCTGGTGGACGTACTCTCTCGTTTGTAAACCCACCCTTAAAAGTTATCCATTCGCTAAAAGAAACTAATTTGCCTAAATCTAGTGGTAGGATATCTTATCCTAGTTTTTTCTATAATTTTAATCTGGTGGAACTTCTCCTCGTCTACGGGTAAATCACCAAGAACATGCTGCTTCTGCGAGAAAAGCAAGGAGAAAAAATTCTACTTTTTGCAAGTTCAATACCTGGTGGACGTACTCTCTCGTTTGTGAACCCACTCTTAAAAGTTATCCATTCGCTAAAAGAAACTAATTTACCTGAATCTAGTGGTATGATATCTTATCCCAGTTTTTTTTATAATTTTAATAATTTTATTGTTGATGTTTTAAAGCTTTAAAATCATCCTCTTAAAATGTATTCCACAATATTTGATCATCAATAGTAAATCTAACCGCTTAAGGTGATTCGATGGACGTCATATTTTGTCTCAGAACGGCATGCGATACATCGCATCAATTGTCATGTCATCATGTCTCCTGACAACAGAATTGCGATCTCAAAATTGGAGAAAAATGACGAGTAGCTTAAAAAATGGAACCAATTTATGCGATATATCGCATGCCGTTCTGACACAAAATATGACATCCATCGAATCACCTTAATTTTTGTGGCTCAACAGCCCTGATGCTCTATAAATCGTTCATTATCGGGTTTATCAGCCAGTTAAAATGATTTTCGCAGTCTCAGTTTGAAAACTTCGCCATTACTTACGAAATAATCCCTTTTCGGAGTGGCTATCTTCTCCAAGTCAAAGTACAATAGCTGATCTATTTTAGCTCTTTTCTGGAGATCTTTCGGATACAGCGAATCATCCTTGCCGTATTTATCGGACAAATACGTCAGCATTACTCGACTAAAAAAAGCAAGAAATAATAATTACAATCTTTGTTGGAAAATAATGTAGTAAAGGTTGTGTGCATACATGAAATAATTAAGTATATTGTCTAACTCCATGATTTGCGCTGAGATGGGTATTTATTCGACACGCTAGTTGGTGTTTATAACGTTATTCTTTTCCATCCTGAAACCAGTTTCTCCTCACGGAAGACCAGTGTTAATTTAATTCCCCCCTCCTCAACTCCCGAAGTGCGTATACGCACACACACATGCACCCTCACCCTATCACACACTCGTAAAGGTCCTTTTTTGAAACTGATTTTTGATGAATTCTCCGAAGATCCTCGTATAAAGAACGAATTTTTATCCGTTGAGAGGCTTACCTTTCATTCAAGCGGAATCCATTGTCGTCCAGAACAGGCACGGTATGCTGTGGATTTATCTGGGACAAAAAAGAAAAATCTGATCTTCATTAAAGAATATCGCCGTAAGTCCAAATTTCCAAGGTGCAACCGCACTCGAAAATGGATTTTGGCAAACAATTTTGAGATCTCCTGTATTTATATATAGTGGGTTGGAAATATAGCCAACGGGCCAATGTTCTTAAAGTTGTAAGTGGCTTCAGATTACGATGAAATACTTTTTCTCCGCTCTTTTTATCAAGTACCTAGCTCATGATTCGTTCTTTTCATCTTAATTTTCTCGTATAAAGTAATAATTTTCCTCTTTTTTCAACATGTTTCATGCATACCTTTACACAAATGAAAATCTATAGAACTACGCAGTTTATGCTACACTGGAAAAAGAAACACATTTGGATCTAGAGTCCAGACTCTTATTGAAAATATTGACAAGAATAAATACTCTTGATTCAATCAGATTTAAGCTTAAATCAAAAGGAAATTCGCTCAAATTAAGAGGCTTGGTTCTTGATTTAAGCTTAAATCTGATTGAATTAAGAGTATTTTTTCTTGTCGATGTTTTTAAGAGTCTGGACTCTAGATCCAATGTGTTTTTTTTTTCCAGTGTAGTTTGAACAATAAAAGGCTAGTGGACTGGGAAAGCTTTTACAGAGCACACCATTTCCTTGTTGCTCACAGCAAACTTCGTAATCAATAGGTTTTCATTGATTGTAATGTACGCCAGCTCTGCAATACAACGCGAATCTGCACTACAAATTTTTACTAATAAGTACTGTGTAGTAACAACCAAACATGTCCGACGTTATGTGAACCCTTAACATGTCGATTGCATTATTTTCCAGTAGAGCGATACTTACCTTCAAAAATTCGGGACTCATTTGCTCCCCTCTGCTGATATCTACGAGTTTGAGGTTCAAGTCTATCCCTATGAGTTTAGCGCCCATCAAAACAGCGCGACAAGGGGGACTGGCCAGAACGTAATATAAATCTACAGCCATTGTTTGCCGCAATTCAACGACGATTTTAAAAACTTTTGAAGTCAATGATGCGAACCATGTAGGTGTAACGAACTATCGCAGGCTCGCGAGTTGACCCGATCACCAACAACAGAACAGCACCCAACGTCTAGGTTCTCGGACAAGAAAAAAAAAATAAAATAAAATAAAATAAATTCCTCGAAGCGAAGCGATTCCTCCTGAACCTACTTGTTGATCACAGCTAATAGTTGGCTTTGCTCTTGGCGGAGCGACGATGACTGTGGTTAGATGTCGGGATGCCTAACCACCGCTTGTGATTCCTCGCGTCGACCTATCATTATTCACTCCCGCTCTGCACTCAAGGCCGCCCGCGAGTGGCCTGGCGTGCTTTGAGATATATCGATTGATACGCCACTCAAACCCATGAAAAAAGATCGATTATCAGGGTGTTCGCAGCGAGCACCTTAGTAATCGATTCTTTACCACAGCTTCAAATGGCGAGATATCGATAATCGATCATTCACGCCTCGCCACTGCCGCCCGCGCCATGAGGAACTTCTCTCGCTCTTCTACTTACTTATTGGAGCCTCTAGAAATGTGTTGAAGAGACGAGCTGGGGCCGAATTGGTCGGGGGAAACGGGTGTAGGCACTTAGCTCTTTCAGTCAAGCCGAAACATTTATAGCGGGTCTCCGTTGCATTGGCTCCAAATCCTAGGCGGATCCAGACATCCCAAACAGGGGGGCGAAAGGGGGGCACGGGGGCCTCCCCCAGGAAATTTTGAGTTTCTGAAGCATCTAATATGAATCACTAAATACAATTAAGGCACATGTCCAGGAAACCAAATTGTTCAGGAGACACAAAAAATGTTTATTTCGTGGTAGATATTTTTTTAAACATAACGACTTTCCAAAAAATATCTGCCACGAAATAAACAGTTTTTTGTGTCTCCTGAACAATTTGGTTTTCTGGACATGTACCCTTTTTGTATTTAGTGATTCATATGCAGTCTGAATCAATTTCGTCAAGAATAATTACCGAATGTAAGCGTCTTTTCTTTTTTCCTCCTCCTTTTTTTTCGGGTGAAGGGGGGGGGCAGCGTACGCCCTTTACGCCCCCGCCCCCTTGGATCCACCCTTGTTCAAAATGGTCTCAAATACCGAAATTTACAAGGTCATCCAGAGTTAACCGGCTAGACTGCAGGAGCTTATTGTTTTATGGGTCATAATATGACTTTTTGTTGTATAAAGTTTTTTTCCATAAATACCCCGAGTCGGAGCTACGCTCCCCCCCCCCTCAATTTCGGATATTAAATCGTTTTTCCTGAATTTTGGCAACGGTTGTGTGATCTCATAAAAATTTGTGCTTCCCTGTTTTTTATGCCCTGAATTCATAAATGATCTTTAAGAAAAATTGGAATCTCAATTTAAAGAGGGGGTTTGGGGGGTTTTTCGGCTTCTACAGTCTGGCCGTTTAACCCTGGATCACCCTGTATACTTCAAAGGAGATCATAGAAAGTGACTCACGCAAAGGATGCATTCCCGAGGAGAAAATGAGCTACAAGAAAATGTCACCTCCAAACGCGATCGGTGGGGCAAGGAGTGACAAGCTAATGCATACCGTGGAGGAAACCATGCGGTAATGAGGGATGCGCCAACGGTATGACGGTATGGCGTCTTCCACAGCCACAGTATTTTCCAAAGGGCAATATCTACCTTTCACCGTCAAATGTGGACGCAGTGCTTCGACTTCGGGCCTGATTCTATAATTTCTCCGTATTCCATAAAATTCGATCACCTAAACGCGCGTTTTCGAACGTGTAGCAATGGGTCAGTAGTTGCGCTATTCACAAAATCGTGCCTTAGTAGGTACTCTTAGTGCTTGATTCGGATAGATTAGCTAAAAATAATATGACCTGTCTCAACAGCAATTTTCTCCGTCGAATATTGTAACTAATCTTATTGTAACGAATATTGAATTCTTTAGTCTCCTGCCAACTGCATTGCGTTCGCAAAATTCGAGAAAAATGACAATTAGCTGAAAAAATGGCACCAATTGATGCGATACCTACAGCGCATGTCATTCTGACGCAAAATATGGCGTCCGTCGAATCACCTTAAAACTCTACATTAAAAGAGATAAATTGACGTATTTCTGTCAAACGGAACTAAGCGCCAATTTTAGTTCCTCTTGAGGAATTTAGAATGCCGGATAGCGCGTTCTGTCAAACGGAACTAAGGTCCATGGAAAAGCATTGCGAGTATAGGACGGAATGAGCCTGACGCCCGGCGTCGCCGCTAATCCAAGCCCCCCTCTGCCTTCCTCCCCCGATGGCGCTTAGTTCCGTTTGACAGAAATACGTCCAAATATCCTCGACGAATGTTTTTTCTCCATCCATCGCTCAGAATTTCTTGGGGGGGGGGGGGCAAGCCCCTCCNGGCAAGCCCCTCCGCGGCCGCATCTCCCTTCGCACGCCCATGTATGCCTTGCCGAAAATGACTCTCAGACGAAGCGCCTCGATCTTTGAGAATCGATTGCCAAATATCAGGCAAGCTTTTGGCGGGTTCATGGACGTGAACGTCGGGACTTGAAGCTTTCGTGTTGTAACTTGTCGGGAGTGAAGAGCGCTTTAGTATAAGGAGAGCGGGTGGGAAGTGGAGTCCACTTCCAGCCCAGGAGTTCAATGAGAGGAAGTGGGCCCTGGGCCCTGGGCGGGAAGGAACCTGGAGGGGCGGAAGGAGGTATTTTGCGAACGGCGTGGGTTTGTTGATTGTGTCGCTGTATGTACATCCACTTGCAACTTTGCAGGCTGCGTCTGCGTCAGGCGTCGCACGTGGGCGAGCCGGTCGAGGTCGCCCCGTAGCGGAATGAACGGTGGTCCGCCGAATGGATGCCTTCTTGTCCGCGCCGCGCCATCCGGTCTGCAAATCCTCCGCGCGCCGGCCGCCGCACCAATTTCCGTCCGGGCAAAGGCCGCTGCCCTCCCCGTAACGTCTCGCGTATTCGACGTAAATGGGGCATGCATGCGCCCTATCGAGTATGCTCGGGGTGTCTCCAGGACTGAAAAGCTGAGAAAAGCGTACGGGGGGAATGAGGGAATTTGACCACCGTCTGGAAAACCGGGAAAAGTCAAGGGCCCAGTGTTGTCGGCTCTTTCACATCGATGGTGAACAGTGTTCGAAACTCGCAGGCGCCAACGCGCCAAATGCGCTTAAAAAATCGGTCATGGCGCCTAAAAAATGAAGACTGCGCCAACGTGGCCCCTAAAAATTGCCCCTTAAAAATTTAAAAGATTTGCTACGGACAGAGTTGCCACACAGTCTAGAAATATCAGAAAATATCAGGAAATTTCAAAAATTCGAGAAAAGACTGGAAATGACAGTAAGAAATTGTCAAGTCACCTTTATTTGCTTTCTACAATGAGTTGACGTTTCGGACGACAAATTTTGCGTGAATGATATTTCAAATTCAGGAAAACCTGGAAAAGTCGGTATATTTGATTTTGCAAATCTTGTAGACGCCCTGATGGTGACACGAGAAAGAGTGCTTGTACAGGCTGTCGAACATCAGGATTTTCCCGATTCTTCAGGATTTGAGGTCAACCAGGATTCGGATTTCCATCCCGATGTCATCAGCAGGGCCGGATTTACCTACTTGTCATGGGCCGCCTGTATTTTGCCGCCCCCTTCTCATTCCTTTTGAAACAACAATAAAAACCATCAAATGAACGTGCCAGCGGGGGAGGGGTGCATAAGACGCGTTTACTCGTGTTGAAAACATTTTTTGGGAAAGCCGGCCCCGTCAACACTACTAGCAAAAGTTCACGGAACTTTGTGCGAAAGTTAAGTTTCGTAAATCTATCTCTGTGTGGGCAAGGTCCTCCATTCATAAGAAATGAACGAAAAAATTATGAAAGAACAAACATAAATGTGGATGAATGATTTTATCTTTCGCCGCGCCGCCGCGCTGACCGCACCGTGTTTGGCGCAACGCGTGAAGTATTCCGACAGTCTTGTAGGCGCTGTGAGTTTCACGCCGACCGCTGTTGAACGCACTGTGTTTTCAACGCGATGCGTGAAGTATTCACGCAGTCTTGTAGGCGCTATCCGTTTTACGCTGACTGCAATGACCGCACTCTGTTTGATGCAATGCGTGAAGTATTCGTGCAGTCTTGTAGGCGCTAATACATATGTGTTACATGCCGATCGCTGCGCCGAGGGCCTCTCCTTTTCATCCCATGTCCTGGTCATCATTTCTCTCTAAGTCGCGCCGTTCCAGGCCAAACTGCGTGTTTTAACTGTTTGGTTTCTCTCTTAACTTGAATAATTAAAGGTGCTGTCTCTTGTGTCTCTAAAAGACGACAAAATTAGAAATTATTATACTCTCAAGAAATGAGAGATTTTGTCGCCTTCTCTCGTTAGTAATTTTTTTTTCCTGAATCCGATTTTTCTTTATACCTACTTTTGAAAAAATTGCAAAATTTACCGCCCCCATAGATTTTCCGCCGTGGGCCGCGGCCCATGTGGCCACCCCCTTAATCCGGCCCTGGCCATCAGGATTTGAGGGAAAATCGGCCGTAAAATCAGGATTTGAGAAAAGTCGGCCGTCCGATCGGATTTTTTTATCGAGCTATTTTTGTGAAGTTACATTCGCCTTGCGTGAAGTCAGGATTTTATCAGGACTTGGAAAAATTATGAAATCAGGATTCAGCAGTTAAAAATCAGGATTTCCCAAAATGAAAAAAATTAGACACCCTGTTGTATCTGAAGTTAAGGGCCAAAATATGGAAATTATATTTTCACGTGTGTTCTAACCGCTGTCGTTTGATGTGCGTGTTGCAGATCTCGCGGCCATCAGGAAACTGCTGGAGGTGGAGAGCGGTTGCGGGAGTGCGGGCGGCGTCTGCCCCACCTGCAAGATGCCTTTTGACAAAGGCAAAAAAAGGAAGCTCATCGACACCTGCGGCCACGAGCGCTGCTACTCTTGCATGTTCCGCAACGAAAGATGTCCATTGTGTGTCGCCCAGGAGACCACTCGTAAGTATTTTGTTTCCCAAATAACCCTACGACACTTTAAATTGACTCGTTTTGGGTTTAGTAACTAGTACCAGTGGCTCAGCCAGGAATTCTTTTAAGGGAGGGGGGAGGGGAGGGNGGGGGGTCTTCGTGACGGTTTTACATTATTTTGTGTACGTCCCTGATAATATTTTATGTCTGAAAGAAAGTACCTTCAAAAGTGAAGAAAAAGTACAATGGGCCTGTTGCAAACTTTTGCTAGAGCAAAAATAAGAGTTGGTTCCTATATATAATGCCTCAAAAATCACGATGTGCGCATCGGCAAAGTCTGAAATGCACTCATAACTTCACAATCTGCGTAAGAAATTTGCGTTTTTTTGAGCTTCCCGCTTCAAAAACGATACTACGGCACAGGTGAACATTTTGTTAGAAGAGTCGCTCCATCGTCGGCAATATTCATCATGGCCGACGTTTGCGCAGTTCCGCACGTATTTTGAGGAGAGTTCAAGGTCAATCAAGGCGGGTGAGGAAAATATGAACGTAAACACGCCAATTGTTATCTAGTCTAATCCTGTTCAGGTGTTATCTCGTCCCATCACAGGTGTTATGGCGGATTGTCGTCGGCCATGATGAGTATTGCCGACGATGGAACGACTCCTCTAACAAAATGTTCACCTGTGCCGTAGTATCGTTTTTGAAGCGGGAAGCTCAAAAAACCGCAAATTTCTTACGCAGACTGTGAAGTAATGAGTGCATTTCAGAGTTTGCCGATGCGCTCATCGTGATTTTTGAGGCATTATCTATAAGTAACAACTCTTATTTTTGCTCTAGCAAAAGTTTGCAACAGGCCCATTAGCGAGGCTAAGGGGGAAGGGGGCTGGACCCCCCCCCCCCTTGTCTACGCCATCTTGTGTCTTGTGTCTTTTTAGCTTTGTTTCCCGTTTTTTCCTCCTTGTTTTTTCCACTGTTGTCAACACCACTGACCAGTACAAGCAACTATTACTGTTGCAAAGACTCTAAAATGCTCTGCTATAGGATGGGTATGGATATGGGCTATTTTGGGGCACATCCTATGGCTAAATTTTCTCAAACATACGATTTTTTACCCATTGAAGGCCTACATCTAATGGAATGCATTAAGATTTGGTCATTTTGGACCCTTTTCGGGTCTCATACTGGCCTATTTGGACTACTTTTTGCGATTAGGAACTATAATTTCTGTCTTGGTGCAGAAACAACGTGCGCACCATTAGTTTCCCTATTCACATAAGTGTTTTCACTGTTGAGCTAGAAATTGTAATTCCGCATTGCAAAATCAAGTCCAGTCACGGGTCTAAAGGCCGATTTTTGCGAAAAAAAACTAATTTTGCGGGTCTGCGGTCGAATACCACACAATTTTCATTTCTTCCTAAAATGTTGGTTAAAGATCATGTCTCAGAATACCTTGGCTACTGGTCCATTCCTAGCCCTGTCTGAGAAATGAGGAGCTGGATAAACTCTTTTCCTTTCCTTTCCTTCATGACGTCCTCCAATTTATCAGATTGTAAATCATTACGGACTTTTTTTTTCGATTCTAGCCATGCCGGTAGCCAAAAAGATGACTGGATTCACTCCACCCCCAACGCCTATGCGCAACTCTCAGCTAGATCTCCACGCGGACAGCGCGGAGCAGTGCCCGCCCCCACAATACTCATGTCGTCCTAAACCAAAACTAGCATCTGTCGTAAGTTCAACATCTTTCTTTCGTCACGCTTCCCTCTCCTCGCATTTTATGTGGCGTAGAACTCTAACTTGCAAAAATGAGTCTCAAGGACGACCCTGTAAGAACTTGTAAATACAGGGTGTTCCAGGATTAAACACGAATATTGAGGGAGTCGATTCCTGGGGTCAAAAAAGGACGCTTTTGTGGTATAACTTTTTTTCCTCTTCCACGCTTCCCTCTTCAAACGCTCTTCCTGGGGGCCACGGCCCCCCAAAGTTAAAGAAAACAAATCGTCTTTTTAACACTGTGACAATGTTTATCAACCAATACCCTGGTAAAAATTGGCGATAGGAGCTGCGTTTCAAATTCCATAGGAGTTCTTATAGCCGACTGAAAAAGGCGATAGAAAATCATATAGCTGGCTGTAGAAAGTGGAAAAAATCATACGGCCGGGCTACACGAAGCGATAAAAAACTATACAGCCGGGCTATAGTTCCTATCGCCGGGCTTTACACTTTATCGCCTGGCTGTTGCTTTTTCGCCATCGGCCTTAAAAGGCTATATGAAATTGTGTAGAAATTCGTGTGCTTTGTAAATCTTTAAGTTTGTACGGAATCACCTTAATATTTACAAAACGCACATTATTTTTTTTCATCAATTAAAATGAGAATAATCCATACAGAGTGTGCAAACATTTCAGTCATGAGTTGAAAAACGCTGACTCCACGAGATTAAATATGAGAGCCTAATATAACACAAAGCGGAGTAGCGGCGCACTGGCGCCTACAAACCTAACAGGAATACTTCACGCATTGCGCAATGCGTGAAGTATCCCTGTTAGGTTTGTAGGCGCCAATGCGCGTTTCGCGCTGGCTGCCCGCCCGGGCCCGCCGCGCCGCGCCGCAGTGTATCACGGCGCTTGAAGCAACTATTTCACACCAGAGGTATTGCACAGTATTGTACGAAATTGAAGGCGCTCCAACATATTAGGAATGACAAGCATCCTTCAAAAGTACAGAGCTTTCCTCGCAAAATAAATCAAGATACTACGGCCCAAAAAGAGAGCGGTAGTCCAAAAACTCACTAAGTCCTAGCATCCGTTATTCGTAACGTTTAGCATACACTTTATCGCCAGGCTGTTGCTTAATCGCCATCGGCTGTAAAAGGCTATAAGAAATTGTGTTGCCGGATACAGAAGCTATTGGAAATCTTACAGCCGGCTGTAGGTCTATGGTATTTTGGAACACAGATTCTACTGCCAATTTTTACCAGGGAATAATTGGCAACTGGGGTTAATTTTTAGCGTTCTTTTCATTTTTGATCTCCAGAAAAAGGAAAACTCATTTTAAGGGGGGGGGGGGGGGGGTATTGAACCTAAAGGGGCCAAAATTAATGTTTCTAGCGACAAAAATTGATTTTTGACGGCACTACTAGATTTAGCATTAAAAAATATTGTGATAATGTATTTTGCGTTTTTTCGCTATGACTAATCGTTTTCGAAATAAAAGGGACTAATAGGGGATATTATGGGGATAATGGAGCCCTCAGGGAAAGCGTTTTTGGAAAAAAAATTATACCACAAAAACGTCTTTTTTGACCAAGAGAATCGACTCCTTCAATATTCGTACTTAATCCTGGGACACCCTGTATTTCATTTTCAGGGTGGTGCTTCTCCTGATGCAGGACCATTTTTTATAAAACTCAACCATATAGTTCAGGAGCCTCCAAGCATGCATTAAGAAATGATTAGTGGGTCAGATGGGGTAGAGAAACGAAAAAAAGAGGGAGAAATGATTTTAAATTGTTAAAGTATCAAGTTATAACGAGTTGGTACAACCCAACTTGGTAACTCGTTATTCAACCATTTCTAACAATATTTATCATTTTTTTAAGAAATGAGATTCTGATTGGTAATGAATTAGCGGGGCGCTTATCCAACACACTGGAAAACAAATCAGGCATATTGGGAGCCCATGAAAAAGTCAGGAATTCATCTATGTAAAGTATAAAGTTTGAAACTTGTGGAAAACTTACCGAATGTACTGCAAATCATGCAAACTGATTCCAAAGTAATTTATTTAAGAATTGTCTCACACCTAAAAATCAGGAAAATAGCTTAATATTTCGAACGACCCGAAAATAAAAAAAAATTAATTTCTTTATTTTTTTCCTGCAGATGAGAAGTTATGATGGTGAAAATTGGCCGTCCGCTCCAAGTCGCCTGCCACGACCTACCAGGTCAATACTCGAAAATGGTCCTATGACACAGAGTAAGTAACTTACGTTATTAATTGTGAACATCTATTTGTGAAAAGGTATTTCTTGTAATCATCACTACGTATTTAGATTTCTAATTTTCAATTGTCATCGCTTAATTTACCCAGAGACAAGTCCTGAGACATTCCTCTTGGTACTCTGACATCCCACTTTTCATTTATTTATTTCTATTCATTGAAAATCGATTTGTGTAGGTGATCGACTGGCATCATTAATTAGTCATATTGCATTCATGGTTTTGTTTCCGTCACAAGAACGAATAAGAAGGAACTTTTAGAAATTTCAATGTCAAAAGTGGAGACTTGCTTGTTTCCTCAGCATACCATTCATTCCTCAATATGCTCAGTGCAGAGAGCTCCTCAAATCTAAACTAGCTTGAAAAATATACTTCATCCGTCCTAGAAGAACTGTTTTATTTTTAATTGCAATTCAAGCTTGAGAGCCTAAATCAGTGTAATGAGAAAATATTGTACAGATCAGTGCTTTAACGCCTTGAAACGAAGTTTTGCTTTTTCTGTTCTTTTTAACAAGTTATTTTCCCTCTTTACAGGCTGCCCTACTCCACCTCAAAGCAGAAGAAGGTTCTTCCTAAGTCCTAAAACTATGAGGAGTCCTTTTGCTTTGCGAGGCAACAAAGTTCAATCCGTAGACAGCAATGGTCTTTCAGGTAAATATAAAAATTACTCCTCTTTTTCTTTATGTTTATTTTATCACATTTCCATCCTCTAGAATAATGAAGATTTGCTTAGTGTTTGAAAAATTTTGTTTCTGATAAACTTCATATCCATCTCTCCAAAACGTTCTCTGTTCTTCTTTTATGGACATAAGCCTTGGAATATACATTTTATTTATAAAGTGAGCTTAGCCTTTGATACAAACATGTAACTCGCTGAACAAAATAAAATGACTAAAAAGTTAAAAAATTAAAATTTTGTCACTCTTTTGCACATATATTAAAAATTAAAATCGTCAGACTAGTATGGAGATCTTGGCCTCATCATCAGCAATCACTGACTTGGTGCGGATCGCTGATGATGAGGCCAAGACCTCAAAACGGGTCTGAAACGGTCGAAACCAGAAATGATTTTAATTTTTAATATATATGCAAGTGAGTGACCAAATTTTTTCATTTTTTAACTGTTTAATGATCGTAACCTTGTTGCAAAATTCTACTTTTGAAATTCAGAACAAGGAGCAAATGACGTAGAAATAATACATCAAAGTATCATAAATGACGAATGATGGGTTTGTCTTAGATTCAGGCGTAATGTCAGCATCAGTGTCATCTTGCTCTTCATCTTCTGAGTATCGGCGTTGGCCCTCGCAGGTTTTCAGCAAGATCAAATCACTGTGGCTCAGTAGCGGAGCCGTTGTTGGTGCTGGCTTCAACCACCTTCTCTTTACAGGCTAGCATCTCATATCAGTGTGTTGTGTGCTGTTTGCTCATGGCTGTTATTAAGGCTAACTTTGGCAGTTTTCTCGCCTGGAGTGTGTTAGCTAAACGCAGCTCAGAGTTGCATCTCGATGGTCGATATTTATTGATCAATAATCACTGACGAATTATAACATCAGTTCAAAACCAAAATTCAACGTTCTGACCATGCATATCAATGCACTCAAATGTTTTTTTTTTTTTTTGCCCACCCATAAGTATCAACCATCAAAGCACATGTCATGGATTCTGCAACTGAGTGTGTGTAAGCTAATTTTTGCCTCTCGTCAGCTTTCAAATCATTTAAGTTTACTAAGATTAAAAATGAAATAACACATCCTCTAAGTTAGTCGAACATAATGTCAAATGATTTTTATATTGAATGAGGGTTTTTAGCTAATGGTATTACCAAACAACGCCAGATTAGCCCTGTGCACACCCACTTTTCCTTTTTTTTTTCTTTTTGTCTAAACATCTTTTTTTTGGGAGGAGTTGTTGTCATCCAGTGATGTGAGCATAAATCTTAAACTGAAGGTGTTTTTTAAGGGACAATAAGGTATAGAGTTGTAAAAAACTAAAAAAAGAAAACTATTTAGATTGCCTCATGATTAGATGCGACTGAATAATCTGGTACAGAATTGATAGACAATTCTAACAATAAATCATGAAGTGGTTTGAAACATGTGCGGAGCCTAAGGATTTACCTGACTCTAATATAAAATATCTCCCCTGATTTCATCAATAAACTCTCTGAAAGCATTTTAGGGAAGAAATGTCTAATTTGTGAATCAGTATAATCACAAATATTATAGTAGTACCAACCCCATTCCATTGCTGTTAGCTCAATCTGCTTTGCCAATTAGAGAGTCGAAAGTTGAAAATAGAAAAGAGTATCTGTCATGTATATTATGGGTCATGTTTTGTAAGTTTTATAATTGTGTGAATTGTGTGTGGAATTTGTTGAATTATTTTCATCCCCTGTTTGTGAGTGAGTTTTTGTTTTGTCATCTCCTCTAACTTTTTCTCTTTTGAGTACCTTTGTGTCTTCTAACTAATCAGCTAGATTGAAGTTTCAAACAACCTAGTTTTGCCTTGGCCAATTTCTTTGAAGAATTAAGCAGAAATTTTTCTGTCTGAGTAAAGACTGCTCGACCATTTAGTGTCAGCAAAACTGATGTTGTACTCTGAAATCTTTTCTCTGCTGGGTCTTGGCAAAATTGCAGGTATACCAATATTTGGATTACATTTTGCAGTAAGAAACCACTATCTCAGGCTCTTCTATAAAAGCACCTTTCTCCATAGAGAATCCAATGGCAAATATGTTTTTCTAAAATGAGCCAGAAATAGTGGTTCCTTATTGCAAAATGTGGTCCATTCAGCACTTCCTATGTCCTGGTTTTGTTTTTTCTCCGTTTATACGTGTGCAATCAGAGAATCCTGTTTCGAAGTCACTGATAATTTGCTTTTAAATGTTTGCAGATGAGGAAGCAGGGTCCTTGAAGGGATCAGAGAAAGAACAAGATCCAAAAAAGTCGAGCCAAAACGATTTGTATATGCGTTTGGGACTGTTATTGGGAGAGGGAGGGCCTACTCCGCTGCGTCCATTTCGCAGTGGTCCTCAGGCTTCAAGCCGAGGTGGTGATTCCGTCTGCTCGCTTACCAGCCTAGAAGCCAACACCCTTGCCTCGGACAACACGAGCCCAATTTCAACGTTAACAGGCTCCTCAGAGGTGGAAGTTCACTCCCACAGCCATGAAGAGAAGAAACAGCCTCTGACTGACAGTGTCGGATCTCTGATGTCAATGTCCAGCCATAGTTGCTCGTCCAGCCCTCTTGCCAGGAGGCACTCCATCACCAGTAAGTATCCTATCTCTAGAGTGTGACTTGCAGTTGTGCATGCAAAATTAAGTGCGTGAGCAGTTTAATTTTTCCTCTCACCTTTTCTGTCCGTCATACAGCATTAATGATGTTTACTACTGTCAGACATTAATTCTCTTTATTTTTCAGTTCTTTTCTTACTTCTTTTTTTGCTCTATCTTCCTCCTCTTATAGGATAGATTAAAATCCGAAAATAAAAGTGATCACCCTTGTACCATTTTAGTACTTCAGTAGTGAATACAATCAAAATACTAGGAAGGGTTCTTAAATTCCTCCATCAAAAATGTGTGATTCAGGGCATTAATAATTTTTCAATGTTGATATCATTGGCACCTGTGGCTTTACATGCTTAGATCACTCTTTAGTTTATTTTGAATGCAATTTTCTCATCATCAGATTTTTCTCTTTCTTTTAGGAGGGGGGGGGGGGGGGCTAAAACCTCTCCTTCATTTGCTTTGAATAATTTCAAAACATAGGTACAGTTTCTCAGTTATGGCTCTCTCAATTTTAGAAGCCAATATTTCAACTGCTCGTGGTCCCTTCAATTTAAGTTATTTCTTGCTTAAATGAAAATCTCTCTCCAGTTATGATCTTTCTCCACAGATTATGATTACAACGAGGTCCATAATCAATAAAATAATGGTTCTAAGGAATGAATGACATGCGTTTTTTTAAATTTTACTACTGTTCGTGCATGAAATGAAAAATTTAAAGTTTGCGAAGCATGCTTTTATTGGGTTTTTTGCTCCCTTTTAAATGAAATTCCTCCAACCCCCATCATCAATGAAGGATTTAGTATAGTAATGGCAGTAGTTTTTCTACTATCTAGGGTGGCTTTTATTGTGTTAATCTAAATTTTATTGATTACAAAAAAATTTATATATTTGGTAATATTACATTCTTCCATTTCCTAGGTTTCCCAAACCATTATTGGACCACTCTGTTCATAATTTTTTATTTTCCGACGTGGAAAAATATTGTGCACCTGAAACATCAATGAAAAATATCGTCTTTCTTCTCCCCAGAGAATTCAAATAAAGCAAATCTACCTACCCAAAAAAATATATCTCCCGATGCACAAGTTTGATTTTGTCAACCCTCTTGCTCTTTTTGTATAACATTCTTCTCTTACCCTTTTCCTAATCATGATTTCAGCAGTTAATACTTCTAATATTGCTTTTTAAATAATTTTGCCTTTTGTGTGTGTGCATGATTAGATTTACAGCGACATGATTACCATGAAGATCAGAATGTGAACAGGTATTCCAGGCGGGCAAAACAGCTTCGATCTATGAGGTCTCACAAAGGACTTGCAGACCCCAAAGGTATCCCAATATGTTCCTCATTTTGTCTCCCATTTTTATTATTTTCATATCGATGGCCAAAGTGCAGAACCATCTTTCTCTGCTCGCGACAATGCAGACTTCCTGTCACGCTTTATTTTTTCCTAGAAAAGCCTCTCAACGAATTCCTCGGAAATTACTTCGATTTTTCTATTCTGTTAACAGAAAATATTTTGTATAAATTTCAAGCTTCGACGGTGACTCGTTTCTCCTTGAAAAAATAAAATTGGGGCGGAACTTTTGAATCACTGCAATGAAGATACTTGGTTTTGCACTTTGGTCATCGATGTTTAATTCTCCATACCGAATTTGATCCTAAAACTGGTCACAAACCAAGTTTTCCCTCTCTCCTACAAGTGCACTGATTTTAAGTTATCTACTGGCTAAATCGATTTTGCACCCAATTGAGTGCCCTGAGCACAAAGAAACTGTACTTAAGCATCTTTTAATGAAACAGTTTGCAATGATAATCTGAGAACTCCTGAGTCAAGTCTGACAATAATACCAAAGACAAAGAAGTTAAAATTACTTGGAAAAGAGCTTTGAGGTAACGCATCTCCAGGTTTCGACTAAAAAACTTGTCATGTTAAAGTTGGTCACTCACAATAAAAATGAGCGTTGAACATGGGGTTAATGACTTAGTTGTATTGATTGCAAGACCGTAATTTTCTCTCATGCAAAATGCTTTTATATCTCTTGAAGTAATATATTTTTTCGCTTTTCAAAGTTTAATAGTAGTAGAAACTCATCTCATAGAAATTTCTCATCCTTTCATTTTCATTATTTTCTCTTTCTATTGTAACCAATATGTACTTATTGTTTTTTAAGAAATTGTATCTTTTTATTTTTTTGCAGCTTGTTTTGCACATCATAAATCCCAGCAGCTCGCCAGCTTGAAGCCTCTAACGCTGAAGCCTTTGTTCTTTCAAGTGCCTCTTGAGGACCCGAATCCTCTGTTCCTGGGTCGCGATTGGTTAGTGAATGAAATTGAAGAAACTCTAAGTTCCAGCTCGCCGGCTGTTATTATCCATGGATTAAGTGGGGGCGGTAAAACTGCTCTCATTTTGCAACTGGTCAAGAGTTCATGTTTTGGACAGTCAAAAGAGTCTTCAAACATAGGTTTGTTTATTTTTTTTTCTTTATTTTTTATTTCTTCATATACCCACAAGTTTTTCATGTGTCAGTTGGAACTACACAAGGAACAGCATTGTAAACCTCAAAAGGTACGCAATTAATTAGTGAGACTCATTAGAAATCCCTTTTTTTTTAGAAATGAAAGCACTTCAACAGACAGGTTAGGTACCTATTTACTTTCTCTCTTTTTACAAACAGCTCCAAATTATTTAAATTGCTAAAAAAAAAAATATTGATTTATCTCTATAAAATTTTATCACAGACCTTTTTGTCTTAAGGTGACTCGATGGACGCCATATTTTGTGTCAGAACGGCATGCGATATATCGCATCAATTGGTTCCATTTTTTCAGGTACTCGTCATTTTCCTCGAATTTTGAGATGGCAATTCTGTTGTCAGGAGACTAAAGCACTCACTTACCAATTTTAATAAAGAAATTCAAGGTAATAAAGGTGTGGTTTTTTTAGAGAGAAAATATCGCAATCGAGTGTAGTTTCGATATCAGTAACGGATGCGATGTTTTCTTTCTGAAAAAACCACGCATTTATTGCGTTGAATTTGTTTGTAAAAATTAGTAAGTGAGTGTTTTAGTCTCCTGACAACAGAATTGCGATCTCAAAATTCGAGTAAAATGATTAGTAGCTGAAAAAATAGAGCCAATCGATACGATATATCGCACGTCGGTCTGACACAAAATATGGCGTCCATCGAATCACCTTAAGTTTCGGCTCTGTAACATTTAACAATTTTTTGCTTGCTCAAGTTCAATTGTAATGGTTTGGATGGGAGTCTCAAGGAATTTGAAAAATAAAATGACCATAATGTTCCACAAAGCAAAACTTACACAACTCTTGTGGGGGAGGTGGGCTTCTCTCACCATTAGGCAGCTTTGTCTATGCAAAATCACCAAGTTTATTTTTCTCTTAGATCAGACATGCCTAATTTTTGGATTATCAGTTTTAAGAAAATGTTCGAAATTTCCTTTAGAGACAAATATCACAAATTTTGTGGCTGTTTTATTATTACATTACATTTATTTTTATCGTTAATTATTAATCACTTCCATTTATCTTATGCTGTTGTAGAATCAAAACAATTAACCTCATCATATTGTTTTTCTATCGCCACCAAAACCATTTTCGCTGTGGCACAATATTGCTGTCATGGTGGATTCGAAACCCATTTCAAGATCTGTGATTCTCATGACCTGGTTTTTTTTTTTCTTTTTAGATCCCTGTACGTGCAATATTAAAGATAGGCCAGCTTCTCCCTCTAGTCTTCAATCAATCAACTGCCAAGTTAATCTAGTCCCTGAAAAAATAAAGCAGCTAGCTCAACATGTGGTTGCATATCATTTCTGTCAGGTAAGAATTTTTTCTCTGAATGTGTACTCAAAGCTTTCTTTCTTGGCATTGAATGTTATCGATGAAGGAATCTTTAGAATTTCTAGGTGATCCCAATATTAAATATTTTATACTGTATTACTTTTTTCTGCTGCATTTTGCATTTAAAGTAACTAGTTTACGTCTAAAAAGTACTTTTCCATGTGAAGATAAAGCTAAGCACTCACCTTCCTTTGGGAATGCATTTCAAAAATTGCCCATTATTGTTTAACTCCTAATTTGCATCATGTACTTAATCTTCAATGTTGTTTAATTATTGCAGGTTGACAATAATATTACATGTCTAGTTCCTGAATTTATCCATTCAGTAGCAGCGCAGATGTGTCAAGCGCCACAGCTAACGGCTTACAAAGAATATTTGCAAAACGAAACACATCTTCAGGTTGGCCTTAATTTTTCTTTCCTGTGTTTTTGTTGTTTCTCTGTGCAAAGTGGTATAAGTAGCTTTTTAAACCACAAAAAACCCTCAAAAAGGGTAAAAATTCCGCCAAGCCTATGAGATCTTATCACAAAATTAGTAGGTATTTATCTTAACAAATTTTAAAAAAGGAGAGGGGGGGGGGGATAGTAATCTCTTGAAAATTACAGAAGGCGAAAAGAAAAGCAACTCAAATTCTGTTTTCCATTTCAAACCTCAAAATGTCTGATATCATTTGAGGTCAAGATTTTTTAAGTATAGGTACGCTCCAGAACTAGAACGAGCAAACGGGAAATTAATTCTGCTTAGAATCCCCTTCAGTTAGTCTCGGACGCAACCAGCTTACCTTTGAAGCTAGTTTGGTTGCCTGGGTCACTAATACAAGGAAAGATAATTGGATTTGCTTCCTTCGAGAAGATGGCGAGGGATAAAATAAGCAGTTCTTTTTTCAGTCTCAAACCTCAAAATATTTGATATCTTTTGAAGTCAAGATTTTTTACCATCTCCTCATCTCAC